GTGCTATGCAAATGCATAATATTTATATTATGTCTCCAACAAAGTTGACACTTATGTCTAGCCAATTATTACTGGTGCACAAAGAATTGCGGATGGAAGAATATGCTCAACTAAATTTAGAACACACTGAAACTTTGTGAGTAGGAAAAATAAGAGCACAAAACATATTATTTTTATAAGGGACTTTGCCACATTGATTTCAGGCTCTGGCACAGACCTTGTAGCAGTCTCAGCTTGCCAACTTGTTTCAAAACACCAAGTGAATAGTAGTGGTAACAGATAACACCATGTGTGATCAGAATTAGGAAGATTGATGGCTTGTGTACACCCAAAGGGTATACTGCTTTTAGTACCACTGCCCTTCTGACCAGAGTGAATTTCATTATACCAGTATAAAGGTGATTTATACCTGCATAGCTATTTCCATATGGAAATGGAAATAAGCGTCATCTACACTGGAGGTTGTGCTGGCATAATTATTTCTATTTTAAAAAATCACATTCCTTCAAAGTAGGAATAAGAGATCCTCCAGAATAGGGCTTTATTCCGGAGGATCGGGCCAGTCTAGACGCTTTTTTTCCGGCTTTTCCCCAAGCTGGAAAAAAAGCGGCAGACATGTTTATTTAAATCCGCGGGGGATATTTAAATCCCCCGCGGATTTCCCTATTCCCACTTTCAAAATTAGCATGCCCCTTCCGAAAAAGGGGCCAGTGTAGACGTAGCCTGTGTGTGGCCAATGGGAGCACACACTTTCTTTACTCCTCAGTGAATAAAGAGTATGGGATACCAGCAGAGGCCACCCTCAGCATTCAATTTGTGGGGGAGGGGGAGTCTACACTAAACCTGCTAAATGGAATGCTAGAAGATTGACCTCTGGAGGGTATATCTTCTCCTTAGTGTAGACAAGCCCATAGTTTACTAAAATAGCTATATCTGTGCAAAAAGTGTGTAGGACTAGGACTTAGACTTGGAAAGGCAAGCAAAAAGACGGGAAAGCTGAGCCGTAGTGCACAACTGGCTCCCGAATGTACAGAGAATGATACCAGGGAGGAGAGAGGGAAACAAGGAATGAAGGAATATGAGATTAGGCTTTTGATTTAGGTTAGTAGTTGGAGGTCTAATGTTCACATTTGGAGTTTACAGAGTATGTTGTTATGCTCTTTATACTAGAGGTGCTGGAACTCTAGCAGACCAAATCTCCAGAAATTTCTACTATCATCGGCCAAAATCTTCAGAAGAATAGCTTTTCAGATGTAGGATTAGTCACATATGAACTAGAACTGGAAAACAGATCCATCCTAGTTTGGGATCTAAAAATAGGTTTGTGTTTGGAATCTAAGGCATACTTGTATTAGCTCTCTTCACCTACAAGATCTTCACTAAGCATTCTTAAAACCACAATACCCACCCGAGGAAGTGAGGAAACAGACTGACAGAGCCAGACATGTACCCAGAAGCCTCCTGCTACAAGACAGGACCAACAAAGAAAATAACAGAACACCACTGGCCATCACCTACAATGCCCAGCTAAAACCTCTTCAACGCATCATCAGTGATCTACAACCCATTCTGGACAATGATCTCTCACTCTCGCAGACCTTGGGAGGCAGACCAGTCCTTGCCCACAGACAGCCCACCAACCTGAAGAAATTCTCAACAGCAACTATACACCACACCACAGTAACTCTAACTCAGGAATCAATCCCTTCAACAATCCTCGGTGCCAGCTCTGCCCACATATCTTTACCAGCAACACCATCACAGAACCTAACCACATCAACCACATCATCACGGGCTCATTCACCTGCACATCTACTAATGTAATATATGCCATCATGTGCCAGCAATGCCCCTCTGCCATATACATTGGCCAAACTGTACAGTCCCTATGAAAAAATAAATGGACAGAAATCAAATATTAGGAATGGTAACATATAAAAAACTCCAGTCATCTGAAGAAGTGGGCTGTGCCCACAAAAGCTCATGATACCATCTACATGTTTTGTTCATCTATAAAGTGCTACCAGACCATTTGTTGTTTTTTATACAAAAGTCTGTAGGAGAACACTTCAATCTCCCTGGACATGCAGTAGCCAATTTAAAAGTAGCCATCCTGCAACAAAAAACTTCAAAAATAGACTTCAAGGAGAAACTGCAGAGCTACAATTCATTTGCAAATTTGACACTATCAGTTTAGGATTAAACAAAGACTGTGAGTGGCTAGCCAAGTACAAAAGCAGTTTTTCCTCACTAATGTGAAGGAGTTAAACTAAAAGGGAAGTGAAGTATCTTCACCTTCTCTGTTTAAGGATGAGGGGAACGTTCCTTTCTCTCATGAGTTGGTAGGAGCCGTACAAAGCTCCTCCTCTTGAACCACTGCAGGGAGAGATCCCCTTCATATGTCAATCCATGTTATCAAGTTCATACATGCTTCAGTGAGCATAATAGTCAAAGGCAACCAGGTTCAGATACACATGGAAAAGATATTACAAACATCTTCCACATCTATGTCTGCTCTATTTTAGTTTGCAATTTCAAGGAGGTTCTGAGAGGCAGGCAGACTGTGCTTGCAAGTATGGTACAGGCTCAGTCCAACTATTTGTGATCACAGCTCTATGGCATTCAGCACTGCAGCTGTGCAAACTACACTTTCTAGACCTACTCTTGTTTCTGCTGAAGTTGTTAGCAGAAGTCCAATTGATGTTAATATGAGCAAGGTCACATGGCTGTCCTCACATTTTGGAGACTAGCAGGCCTGCTGTTTTAAAGTATCAATTTAGATGGTAAACACTACAATTATCCCAGTTCCCTTGTTATCTAAATGCTGAAGCTTAGTACGATTCAAAGAGGGTTAGACATTTATATGAAAGAAGTTATCAGCAGTTACATTAGATAGAATGTAAATCTATCAAAAATATGTAGAAAAATCCCATTGTTGATTAGTACTGTTCCCCGTCAGAGACGGAATCCTGGACTAAGGAGTCTGATCTAGTTTGGCAATTTTGATGTGGTAACAGTTGCTTAGGGTATTTTCGAAAAAAGTAGCCTTTTTTAAAAAAAAAACTTCCCCTGTGTCTAGAGTACCACTGTGTTCTTTCCAAAGTAAATTGAAAGAACGCGGAGGTTTTGTCAACAGCGGTAAACCTAGTTTTACAAGGAATAACGCCTTTTTCAACAGAGTTCTGTCAAAAAAAGGTGTGTGTGGATGTGGGGAGCCTGGTTTTTTTGAAAAAAGGACCTCCAGGAAGACGCCCTGGTGGACAGTCCTTCCTTACCATGCTGAGCAGCTCTATTGTTTCTGTCCGCAGCCTCTTAAAGGCATAGGCACCCAGACAGGCATTGCTTTACGGAAGCCAGCCACAGCACCTGTGCCAGCCATGCTAGCCATGTCCCAGTCTTAAGGCCCCCTGGCCCTTCTCGGGACAGTGAAGAGGACCCATCCAGGGGCTCCAAAAGGTGGGTACCAGCATGACTGGGTCCTGAAATGAAAAACCTCCTGGAGCTCTGGTCTCAGGAAGAATCCCTGCAGGCCCTGCAGTCGCACCACAGGAAAGTGGGCATATATGGGCACATGGCCCAGGGGCTGGCCAAAAAAGGGCATCACCCCCGCACCCTGGACCAAGTGAGGGCCAAGGCAAAAGAACTGCTGCAGGGGTATGCAAAGGCCTGAGACTAGAGTTTCCGCTCTGGGGTGGCCCCACAGACCTGCCCATATTATGTGGACCTGAAGCAGATTCTGGGTAGTGGGGACCCCACTGCATGTTGTGGAGTCCGGGTTATCCCACCACATTGTGGACCAACCCCTGAGGGAGGAGGAGCAGGAAGCAGGAACAGGAGAGCTGTACCAGAAGGAGGAGGAGGAGGAGGAGGAAGAGACAGTAGCGACCCTATCCCAGGAGCCAGTCCTCCAAACTCCAGAGTCCTCCCAGGCATCCTCAGACATGGGGGAGGGAACATCAGGTGAGTGCTTTGAGGGGTCACCACACACGGGCGGGTTGGCAGTGCAGGGGGGCCATCTTGTCCCATTGCCACTGTGGGGCCCCTGTGATGCTCAGGTTGCTGCCCAACTCACACACGATGGTGTCTCGTGTAAAACCTCTAAGAGTCTCTTGTCTGAAGGAGGGCCCCTTACAGCGACGGCGTGCCCTCGGAGACAGCAGGTGCACACATACATGATTGTCTCCTCTTTTCCTCCACAGCCAGACCCCCCACGCAAGAGGTTGGCACCACACATGTCCCACAACCATCCCGGACACATGACACCCACAGGCACTGGCGTGTCTACACGGACCTGCTGAAAGAGCACGTAGTGGCCCTGCACGACCTCAACAAGACTCTTCAGCAGAGGACGGAGGCAGAGGCTGAGTGGCACAACAGGCTGCTGGATGAACTTGTCCAGTAGAGCAGTTCAGGTCTTTGCCTTGCCTGCCACTGTCATGGGCGCTGCTCCTCCTGCATGCCAGGACCCTGCTCCCCTCACCCCCTGTTCTCCCCCAGCCCCTCCTGCTCCTTCAGCTCCCCTTCTCCCCCAGTTTCTCCTGCTCTTGAGCCCTCAAAATCCCAAAAGCTGCCGCCCAGCTCCTGCCCAGGCCAGAAGTGGCCTTCGCTCCACCCGACCCCTAGGCTATGGAAGTGCCAGGACACAAGGTGGCAGGACCCTGCGATCAGAGAAGCAGCGGCCTGCTTGAGCCACCCTCCCCCTTCCAGCATTTGAGCCCCCTACTACACCAGTGAGAGAGACCATTTCAGTGATGTAACAAAATCTTTATTTTGGAGTGAAGGATGTAACTTGTATATAAACAGAAGAACAGTAAAAAAGAGAAAGTTTTGTTTTAAACAGTTAGCACATTTTCCTTACTGATATTGTTGCTAATAAACACCCAGTATTCTTTGTAAACAGATATTGTTTTTTATATATTCTTTATGGGAAGATGGTGAGGGTGAGGGTGGTGGAGGGAAAGGAGAGGCCCTGTGAGAGTCCTTCAGAGAATCTCTCCCTCAGGGCCTCTCAGATGTGAACACCAGACTGGTGAGCCTGGCGGATGGCAGCTGTCCAGGGCTGCTCAAATTACCTCCCTTTGCCATCAGTACCTGTCCCCCACCCTGCCAGGAAGGCCTCCTCTTTCCTCTCCACAAGGTTATGAAGCACACAACATGCGGCTACCACCTCGGGGATGGTTTGCGTTCGCTCATGTCCAATCGTGTGAGGAGGCAACGAAACCTCCATTTCAAGTGGCCAAATGCGCATTCCATCTGCATGCGAGCCTGGCTAAGATGTGTGTTAAATAGCTCCGTGCTCGCATCCAGGTGGCCAGCGTAGGACTTCATGAGCCACAGTATCAGCGGGTAGGCCACATAGGTCACGATGCACACTGGCATCAGCATGTCCTGAAGCGTGAGGTCCAGCTGTGGGAAAAATATCCCTGCCTGCAACCTGTGGTACAGGTACAAGTTGAGAAAGATGCAGGAATCATGTGTCCACCCCGACCACCCGACACAAATGTCTATAAACTGTCCCCGGTGGTTGACCAGGGCCTGCAGCACCATAGAAAAGTAGCCCTTGTGATTAATAATCTGGGCTGCTCGATGGGGTGGTGTGCAGATTGGGATGTGTGTCCCATCAAGGGCTCCTCCACAGTTCTGGAAGCCAAGCCCAGCAAAGATGGTGTCCAGGTCTCCCAGACGGACAAGCCTCTTCAGCAGCTCCACATTGATGGACCTCACCACCTGCAGAAAGACACAAATAGACAGTCAGAAGCCAGGGAGTTAGACAGGGTACCTAAGACCTTGGGAGGAGAGGCATGCCTGGGCCAGTTGACAAAGGCTTCCTTGTCGACAGCGACGCGTCCAGACTGCCCCGATCTGCCAACAAACAGCTGATCATCAGCTGGTCGGCAGAGCGTGGCAGCCATTTAAATTTTAATGAAGCTGCGATTATTTAAATCACGGATTCATTTCCTTCTGCTGATCAGCCTAATCTACATGGCTCCATTGACGGAGCCATGTAGTTTAGACACACCCATTGTGTCCAAGTGAAGAGGGGTGTATTGGACTAACATTCAAAGAAATACTACAAGTCGCGCTCCGTTCCTGCTTTCCTAGGAAAGCAGGATGTTTGCCCCTTCAAGTTTGCCCCTTCAAGTTACATCTATAATATAAGTCTTTTAACTGACAGAAGTAGTGTGAGAAAATTTGGGACATGATAATGATTCCTTGACTAGGTCAAGTAAGAGCAAAGAGGAAGGTATTTCAAATATACACAAATAGGAAGTATATTAAGAGATAGTGTTACATCTCCCTCAACATCATCCTGTAATAATTTTTAGCAAAGTGAACCACATTCAGTACAACTAACATATTAAGAATGAGAACATAACAGTATTTCTGATCAAACTGATCAAAGTTAACACAATTTTCAAGTCAGAAGCTAAAGCATTCTAAGTCTGAAAGCAGAGTAAAGTCAGGAAAAGAATATTTGCTGATTGTCTAATGATTTTGGCAACTTTAAAGCCCTTATAACAATGAAGAGTTTAGTCTGAGAAATTATTATATTTCTTCAACAATAATTGACAACTATAACTTCAGCATATTTAAAACAGTTTGAAAACAATTAGCTTCTCACCTAGACCTGAAGAAAGGCCAATACTACTTCTGTAGTGTAATACAATCAAAATTACATTGAAGTACAACATGAGTTATCTTGAAACATTTTTTCAAGTTTAAATTAATTGGACAAATGTACAGAAAGAATCAAGTGTCCATTGAGAATCTGTCAATGAACAAACCCTACAATTCGAGCTCTACCCTACAGTGACTGCAGAAGAACTTTTTAATAGGTTTAACCTCAAACTCCTTGAATAATGCATTGACCAGAGTAAAGAGTATTGAAAATAGATCTTTAGGGCTTTTTTTAAATAACAGGAGGTATGCTCAGTTGCTGAGATTTCATGTGCAGTCCTGGTAATTGTTCATTTCAGTAATTCCCAGGGTATGTCTACACTGCAGAGTTTTTTGGAAAAATGGCCATTTTCCCAAAAAAACTTCACTTACGTCCACACTGCAATCGTATTCTTTGGGGAAAATAATCAAAAGAACAGAGGGGGTTTTCTGACACTGGTAAACCTCTTTCTATGGGGAAGAAGCCTTTTCCCAAAAGAGCTCTTTCAGAAAAAGGCATGTGTGGATGGGAAGAGGGAGTTATTTCGAAAGAATAGGGAAAAAGAAAAAGCACAGATGCCCTGGTGGCCACTCCATCCATAGTAATCCCAGTTTAAATGTGAGATAACATCCATTCAGTGAGGAGACTATCTTTCGAAACAGGCAGATTGCTTTTTCAATGAGCTTTTGCTGTGTACACGCTGTTTTTCTGAAGAAGTTTTTTCAAAAGATCTCTTCCGGAAAAGTTTCTTCTGAAAGAAGCCTGCAGTCTAGACATAGCCCCAGTTTACATGTATAGGAACTGTAACTGCATGTGAAAACTGAGATATACAATTGTGTGCCTAATGGGTTTGAAAAATCAGTTCTTAATTATTTAAAGGTACTTGTCAGTCTGAGGACTACATCATATTCACCATACTTATGAAGCCATTAGTATGGTTAGTGAGGTGTCATACATTGCATTACTTTCAGTATACTGATGACAGCTCTTGTAACCTAACTTCCAAAGCTGTTCAGCACTGAGAGCTGAGGTATGCCCTTAGCTGGGATTTTAGTTCTTCACATCTGGAAATAAGGCCAATAACAGGTCACATTCTTGCTTCTGGGATATTTGAACAACTTCTCCAGTGCCTTGGTCAAACATGGATTCAGGATGAGAGCTAGCTGACCAAAACTCAACCCAGACAAAATGGGGGGTGGGTGGAGAATTTGCAAATGAAAGGAAGTAATCATAAATTGTTGGATTAATCCTTTTGCACAAAAACAAGCAGTGTGGATTTTTTTTGTGTGTGCAAAACCCCCATTTTGTGCAAGATCCTTTCCTGGAGAGGCATAAGGATCTTGCACAAAATGGGGGTTTTGCATAAAAAAAAAGTCCACACTGCTTGTTTTTGTGCAAAAGCCTCTTGCGCAAAAACAGCTTGAATAAATTATGCAAATGAAGTGTGGCAATATGCTAATCCTCCTCATTGGAGGAATACCAGCTAATTCGAGTTAGGGCTTTAAATCGGAATCCCGTTCACTGCCACGGGTAGATGTGGGCAGTTACTTTGGGCTAGTCAATTTTTAACCGGCCGGGAACATGCAAATCAAGTGCGGGATATTTAAATCCCAGGCTTGATTTGCAATTTTGGTTGCCTTCATTAGCCTTCCTAGATCAATCTAGGGGGCTAGTTTAGACATACCCTAAGATACTGACTGAAAGCTCTACTGCTCTCTCCCTGAATCCTATTGTTTTATTGTCTTCACTTCCCCTCTCTACAGAATTGGAGTATATTGTGAGGAAAGAGAAAGGAAGAAAGAAAGTCTGTGTGAGCTGGCTGCTGGAGAAATCTAGGAAACAGTGTACTGGCTGTTTAAGAAAGGCACTCGCCTCAGAGGGCCTGAAACTGATCAGATGCATAATGGCACAAAGTGGGGGTTGGGGTACCTGAATGCATGCTGCTGGCTATGCACACTTTGATAATTAGTTTGGTAGCATGTGAATTTCTCCTGTGGGAGGGGCTCGGAGAGAAATGTTAGATGGGCTGGATCCAGTCAATAGGCTGAATTTTGCCCACTCCTGTCTAGGAGGTGTCACTTGTTTGAGCAGGGGTGTTGCCAAGTTGTTTTGTACTTGTTGCTTTGTTTGAAGATTGTGTTTGTCATCACAAGTTAGTGCTCTGCACATTTACTGAACAGAAGGATAACACTGGAATTGATCTTCCCCACTCCTTCTTTCCCAAGGATTATTTTATCTGTTTCGTGAATGGATGACAAAAGTGTCAAGGTCAGTGAGAATTCTCTCAGTTTTAATTCAGCATCAAGTGTTGATGCATGCCCTTGCAATGATGATAGTGCCAAATTATTTATTGACAGATTGGATGTACAAAGTCGTAAGGCAGTCGTTGATGCTGATACGGAGCTCAGTCAGGTGACTGACTAGAAGATTCTTGATTGCAAATCCAACATCATGCGTTTTTCTGTCACATGTTGGTTTTCCTTTCCAGAAGTGTAACCACTGCCCTTTCTCACAGGTAGCCTTCTTCTGCATGTCTTGTTTCACTGACAAAAGCAAATGCTAATGTTACTCTTTAAGAGATCTTGGGCTGTTCTGTGTTTGGGTCATTCACTTTTTGATTTGTTTAGGAGGGTACAGGCATTCTAAGTTGCAAGAAACACTTTTGGTTTTTGACCTCATTAGGAGCACTCTGCCTGGACATTGTTACCCTGCCAGGGAAACTGTCTGAAAAAGCGAATATGTTCCTTGGATGCAGCAGAAAAGCTCTGCAGTGTTGACATAGCCTATGTTTGGGGCACCTTTTTTAGCCCCTTTCCTGTACAGGATGAACTTGTAGGGTTCCTAAAAAGGCCTGCTCAGTTATGACTAATTATGTAATTAGAGCCTAAAGCTATGAATAATTATCCTTAAATTAAAACTGTCATTGATGTCATAAAAGAACATTGCCAGGTCAAATTTGGCTCAAATTTTAGGTTTTTGCAAAGTGTTAGGCCAATAAAAATGTTGCTTCTAGAAGAAACATTGAAAAAATGGAAAAACCTATCCATTTAAGTTCACCCTTTTGGTAATGTCATTAATAAGAAATTTTAAAAATAATTCCTGTTATACATATTGACACTATCACTTTAATTTTGAGTCTTATAAAGAGGCCTTCCATTTCAAAGATATAGCATTTTTAGTACCTGAAAACAATTTTTTGTCCAGAAACATTGAATTAGTAGTAAAATCTGGCTTCAATGATTTTGACACATTAACTACAATTTTACAATAAACAGTGGATATCCAGTTGTCAGTATACAAAAGAATGTGCTTGCTGATGCAAGAACAAAGGAATTTTTTTAAATAAATGTGGTATTGGATTGATAAAATTAGTAAAACAAAGGGGAATGGAGCCTGGAGCCTCCCTATTGTCCTGACATGAATTAAGTGCCAATTTGATAATTAATTGATTCTGACTGTTCGGTGGCTTGGCAATTACAATCAGCATTTCACAGTTTCCCGCAATCTGCCAGTCCAGCCATCCAAAGCATGTTACTGGATTCTGCCCCATTCTGTTCTCTCTCCCATCTGCTATGTTATGTTGAGATCAGATACAGGAATCCCAGAAAATCCAGAAAGTGTAAGAGAGAAAAATTTCAGCATCCAACTTCCAATGAACATTCTGGTGAAGGAATTTAAAAAAATGAAAATTGAGGTAAACATGGGTGGCAGATATAAAAGGCCAGGAAAGGCTGAGCCTTCCCAAACAGTCCTATGTGGCCTCATCCAAGTTCCACCCCCAGACTCCTTCTTGATATCTGCCACATTGCAGATCTTCCCTTGTGTCCAGGGCCTAGAACCGTTGCTAGTAGGAGCTGTCCTGCTGCCAGGGACTATGGGAGGCTGGAACCAGTGTTTGTGTTGCCCTTCTGCCCGGCACACCACACTGGCTGCATTGCCAGTCTTCCCAGTATTCTCCGGATAGGGGCCATGCTGCCCATCTGCCCAGCACGCTGGGTCTGGGGGTTCTCACTGCCTGGCACTCTGTGGCTGGAGGCGCTCAGGCAGTCAGCATGTCTACACTAGGAAACTATTTCTAAATAACTAAAATCAATGTAATAACTCCTGAAATAACAAAATCAAAATAGTGTGTCCACTCTATGGCTGCGTCTAGATTACAATCCTCTATCGAAAGGAATGTAAATGAAGGAAACTGAAAATGCAAATGAAGTGCAGATTTACACATCTCGTGCATCATTTGCATAAGCATGTCCGATTGCTTTTTCAAAAAAGGTTTTTCGAAAAAAAAAAGCAGTCTAGATGAGGTTCTTTCAAAAAAACCCGTTTTCAAAAGAACCCTGTAAACCTCATTTTTTCAGGAAAAAGATTTGTAAATCTGCGCTTCAATTGCATTTTTTATTTCCTTTATTTACATTCCTTTTCCAAAAGAGGAACGTAGTCTAGACACACTCTATGGGGAAGCCTCAAAATTAGGCAGACTCCGTTATTGTGGATGCGTTGCCTCAACTTAGAGCCCAAGGAAATACTTGGAAGTAATTACTTCGAATTACTCTGGGGTGTAGTTATTTTGAAATAGCAGCACCAAAGCATCTACACTACCACTATTTTGAAATAATAATTTTGAAATTAGTATTATTCCCTGAGGAAAGCAGGAGTACAAATTTCAAAATAACCAACCCATTATTTCGAAATAAAGGGGTTGGTAAAGCAGGGTTATTTTGAAATAACTTCCTAGTGTAAACCAGGGCTGGGACCAGGGGGGGAGGTGGCTTGCTAGAGAAAGGAGTTGTGAGTGACGTAGCGAAGGACCCCAGGCAGTGGGGTAGGATGGGCTTGGGGCCAGCATCACTGAGCTCCTGGTTCAACTACCACACATGAGGCTAAATTAGTATAAATCCCTAACCATGCAATAAAAAACTGTACTGGGACCCCTACCACAACACATCCCATAAGGAAGAGGCTTTTATATAGAAACAAGGTGAATTGCAGGACCATGGAAAAAGTACACCTTGCAGTTAATGTAATCGGATGCCCAGTGGTCAGGGGCCCGGATAGAGATGTGGATGCACAGTTGGGGAAGTCCATGGTGGCAAAGTTGGTGACGATGGGGTCCATGTCGACCAGGAAGATGAGCCAGTGCAGAAGGATGGTGTTGATGGCCTTCACCACCTGTAGAAGGAGACAAACTGGGAATCACAGGGTTGTCAGAGCCCTTGGGAGGTCCCCGAACCCAGTTTTCCTATCCCCACAGACACACCAGGACCAACTCCATACTTATCCCATCCCCTGTCAGGGCTTTGTGAAGGCAGGACTGAAAACCCTTCCAGTGATGCAGGCTCCACCACTCTCTCCCTTTCCCTAGGGAACCTCATTCTAGCAGTTCCACACCCTCCTGGGACAATAGCATGAGGGCTCCATACTACATGACCACAATCCTGACAGTCGATCTCCCCATACAAAAATGGTTCCCAAGAGATTGGGAGCTGCCCAGCGTGGCGAGATAGTGATGATGACCCGCTTCTGGAGGGGGATGGCGGGTCACATGCATGTGTCCCATCACCTGAGGGCAGGGGCAAGCCACTCACAGCTCCATGGAGGTGTCCTTCTGCATGCAGGCATTCTGGAGCCACTGCTGGTCATCCCAGCACTCCATGATGATTCAATCCTCCAGTTGGAACTGGTGTACAGTTGATAGAAGCAGGTGTGCGTGGTATACAGGAAATGGTGGGAGGGGCTGTGCTGCATGAACAGTGCATGTAGAGAGGAGAGGAGGTGCCCTGCAATGAGCTGGGGGTCCGGTTCCGGTGTGGCAGGAGGTCTAAGAGTCATTTACTGTTCTGAGGCAGCTCTAGCTCTGGTATCCACAAGGGCAACCAGAACAGGTAGTGAAAAGGCTTTGCTGTCCCTCAAGGATATAGGCAAAAGGGAGGAGCCTGAGACATGGCTGTATAGGGGTGTCCCTTTATTATCATGCCTTAGATAGCCTCAGACAGCAGCTCCAGGAAGTGAGTGCTGTCCTGATGGCCAGCCTGAAGTGTTTCTGGGTGTCCTTAAATGCGATTCAGTGTCCAATGAGTGTGGACGCTCTATTTCAAAACAGCTCAGCACGATTTCAATGGGCATTTGCTGTGTAGATGTGCTATTTTGAAATAAGCTATTTCAAAGTTTCTATTCTGAAATAGCTTCTTCCAAAATAAGCATACAGTGTAGATGTATCCTTACAGAATTGTAAATCTCTTGTTTACCATTCCTCTGCTAGTCAATGGCTCATGATGGTCACTTAATATCTATTTGGGTGCAGGCCAATGCCCTTCTTGCCACTGGAGACCTAGCTGTGGTCATCTCTGGGATACACAACATATTTCAGTAACAACCATAGAGCAGAATATCATAGTTCCATATACAATGATTATGCACATTTTTTGACAGAACAATGAGTGTCTGCAGATCATGACCTTGTGTGTGATTAATACAAGGCATGTCCTGTAGGCTACATCACAACCATATACAAAGGAAGAGTATAGGGAGTTACAGGATGTTATTTTAGGGTACAATGTATAACAGAGCAGTCAAGACTGGCAAAGTTGGTGGAACAGACTCAGTGAATCTCTATTTCCAACTTCCATTCTGGAATGGCAAAAAAAGCATTTTGATATTGTTGTAAAAGAATTATTAAAGCATAATAGCTTTCTTCACAAGAAAAAACAGCACAACTACCTGGTTTGCTGAAGTAGCTTGATGAATAAATATAATATTTCAACATTGAACTGGGTAGTTCTGGAGATTGCCTGTCTATGTAGGGTGTTTCTGTTTCAATGGGAAAGGCAAAAATTAAAATCTTCCCTAAATTCAAACATACATAAATGGCAATACTCTCCCAAAGGGTTTGATTATTGTACTGTCAATGCAGCTGCACAAAGTAAAATGGGAAAAATATGGACTCCAACCCTACACAGCTGTAAAGCTGTGTTACCCAGTTTCAGGTGAAGCGATGAAAGAAGAGCCATGGGACTGAAACTAACCCTCCTTGTCCACACGTGAGTGGGAAGAAAGAGGGTAAACAACGGTAAAGCTATGATTCAGCTTCCTTTACTGGCAGCTACAGAAAAAGGAGACATATGAGCCTGGGAGAATCTGTGCCCTAAAACAGCTCTTCTGAGCAATGGGTGATGGAGTCAGTTCCTTCCAATGCTCTTTGGACAGTGCAATAAAATTCACCTGCCATGCAGAGCTTAGCTTTATGGATCAATCCAGTTCAGAGTTACTAATGTGTTCTCTTCAGTGTCCCAGACAAGAAATTATGTATTCTGGCTGCCAATATGTATCTTAGCTACACAAATTTTGCCTGCCCTAATGTTCATAATGGCTAATGAAAAGAATCATGGGAGGAAATTTTTACAGTGGCCTCCTCATTTCTAGTGAGAATTAGATGAAAGCTCACTGAGGATTTTGCACACAAATCAGATCTATCACTTTTTCTCTTTTTTGAGCAGCTGAAAAATCACTGAGGAATCCATATCATGGTGCCAAAAACTAAATCAAGCAACACATTGCATAGATAACCTTCTTGCCAAATCCAAATTGCCAGCAAGGGAATTTTTCCTCATGAAGTGTTTTACCCTACAGTAAACAGGTGTGCTTTTGTCAGTCCAAAAACAGATACACGATAGAGTGGAAGGGAAACTGAAAATGTGACCCTGCTTTTTTTATCATCTGTATTTATGTGCAAGATGGGAGAACTCTACTTTTTACACACTGGCCAGGTCTACACTAGACCTGTAAGTTTGGCTTAAGATACGCATCTCCAGCTATGTAGATAATACATTGCTAGAGTAGGCTTACCTTAAAACAAGCTTGGCAGCATTCACAAAATGGTAGGCCGATGGGAGCAAACACTCCCATCCAGGAGTGGATGAGAGTGCCACGGGGCCCAGAGCAGTGCCGCGGGGCCCCCCCCTTGACACAGCGCATGCGCCGTGGTGCCATGGCGCATGTGCGGGGCCTTGGGAAGCGCGGGGCCCGGGGCAGCCGCCCCGCTCGTCCTGCCCTAAATCCACCGCTGTTCCCCTCACCTTCCCTTACTCCTTGCAACTGCTAGGAGTACAGGCACTGGCTGGAGCTACCCTCAGTGCAGGGGTCTAAGTCAAACCTGCTAAATCTAATTTATGGGTCTAAGTCAAACCTGCTAAATCAAATGCCAAAATGTTGATCTCTGGCATAGGAAGTGAAGACGTGCCTACTGTGTATAGAAAAAGGGTTCAATCATACTCCTACTTGAATACTACAGTAAAACTTCATTGATCTTGTTGGTTGTAGTATTTGCCACAAGACATGCCAGTCATGCATTATATTACAGAAGTATTAAGTAACATCATATAGGCTACGTCTACACTGGCCCCTTTTCCGAAAGGGGCATGTTAATTTTACAGGTCGTAATAGGGAAATCCGCGGGGTATTTAAATATCCCCCGCGGCATTTAAATAAAGATGTCCGACGCTTTTTTCCGGCTTTTAGAAAAGCCGGAAAAGAGCGTCTACACTGGCCCCGATCCTCCGGAAAAAAAGCCCTTTTCCGGAGGATCTTATTCCTACTTCGAAGCCCTTTCCTACTATTCGAAGTAGGAATAAGATCCTCCGGAAAAGGGCTTTTTTTCCGGAGGATCGGGGCCAGTGTAGATGCTCTTTTCCGGCTTTTCTAAAAGCCGGAAAAAAGCGGCGGACATCTTTATTTAAATGCCGCGGGGGATATTTAAATCCCCCGTGGATTTCCCTATTACGACCTGTAAAATTAACATGCCCCTTTCGGAAAAGGGGCCAGTGTAGACGAACCCATACAGTATTCCTCATAGATCCGTGTTTATTTCTTCAAAATCACCCAAAAGTCTTATGCCCATTACTGGAACTCTGGTTTGTTTTAATTGGGATTCTGGGTTTTAATAAACCCAAGGGACACTACTCAGTTTATTCAACATCATGCTATCTTCTAGTCAGAGATTCAGCTTTCTTCCTTCCTTTTCATTTGACAGGTCATTTTATATTCTAATTCACCTCATGCACAGATATGCAGACATGAAAGGGAACCTAGCTAATTTTTTTCCAAATTGTATAGCCCATCAGCTTCCAGCTAAACTCTCCTAAGAAGTTAGAGAAGGCTGGAGTGTTATCATCTAAATTAGTTTCTATGAATTAGATGAAAAAGAGAGAGACTGAAATACGGTTTATTTAGCAAGGTTAAAACATATGATGTAGACAAACTTTATCCTTTTAAACATCCCACATGAATTCCATACATTTTAACAAGACTTGTTTCCTATTATTTGTGCTTAAGGACGAGAGCTATTTGAATTCTAATAAGTCTTACTACCTATTTACATATTATCTCCAATTCAAACTGTCAAGAATTAGAATCTAAGATTTGTATGAAAAATTAAGTATGCACCAAGGACAATGACTGAATTTAACTTTTCTTTCAGTGTTATTATAGAAGCTATTCTTCTAAAATCTCTGAAGACCAAGTTTCATTGATAGCTTTATATTCTAAATTACCTAACCCCACTTCATTTCCAGGCTGTTAAACACTAAATTGAGCCTTCCAATTACTAAACAGGAAGCAGATCAAGCAATCAAAATTGTGAAAACTAATACATTTCCTGGATGCATTGGCTTTCCATCTATTCTACCCAAGGCTTAGATTACTTTCAGGAGTTGGTTCGTGTAAACATAGGGTGTGTCTAGACTACAGAGTTTTGTCGACAAAACTATACCTGCGTCTACACTACCGCTGAATTCTGTCGACATAACGTCGACAGAACTCAGCAGTTTTGTCGACGCTGGTAAACCTCATTTTACGAGGCATAACGCCTTCTGTCGACAGAGTTTCTGTTGACAGGTGTTATTGCATGTAAACTGTCCTTTGCGTCTACACTACCATGTCGACAAAGCAGCTTGCTTTGTCGACAGAACTGAATGTAGTGTAGACGCTCTTTGTCGACAGAAGTTTTGTCAACAGTATCTGTCGACAAAAGCCTGTAGTCTAGACGTACCCATAGTAAACATCTCCCTTCACTGACGCTGTTACCATTCTCTAAGACCTAACCTATACTATTACAGTCTGTCAATCAAAGTTACACAACTTCAGATACTTAGATCTACTTATCTTAGTATCTTCTC